GTGGCGGACGGGGACGACGCCGGGGGCGCCGGCGTCGGGGAGGACGAGAGCGGTTACTACGGAAACAACACGACCACGACTTCGACTTCGACCACGACCATCGTCAGGACGCCGGGGACGAGCGGATCCCTGGGAGGAGTCGGGAAAATCCTGGACATTCCCAGCAGCGGTAGAACCGGCAACCCGGGGGACACGGGGACGGAGGACATGAGGACCGTCAGCACTGCCAAAGCTCCAGGGAACCTGGTCAACGCCGACGAGCAACCGACCGGGACGGTAGAACCTGAGGAGGAGACAAAGGAGGGAGAGGTTGGGGACGAGGTCGGGGACGAGGTCGGGGACGAGGTCGGGGACGAGGCGTCGGTATACCGACCTCTCAGCGACCTGGAGGTCGGCATGTACGCCCTGTTGGCCGTCTTTTGTCTGGCCATCCTGGTCTTCCTCCTGAACTGTCTCAGCCACGTGGTCCAGTTCGGACGCAGGAAGATGTCCCCCCCCGTCCACGCCCACGTCCACGTCCACGAGCCGCCGGGTCACAGACACAACTGGGTGTGGCTGGGCACGGACGCCGAGCTGGTGATGAGGGACGCGCCGATCAGTCCCGTTCACCGGGGGTCTCAGTTCACGACCGCGGTGATGGACATCGGTCCGGATGTGTCCGTCCCCCCGGGGTCCAGGGGACACTGGGTCAGCGACTCCCCCCACTCTCCCACCAGCAGGAGGAAGAGAGTGCAGTTCACCACCTTCTCCACCAGGGAGCGCAAACGTCCGACACGGAGTTCGTCCCCGGAGAACGGACACTGGGTCGACTGGGACGGCCGAGAGGACGGCAGAGAGGACGGCCGAGAGGACGACAGAGAGGACGGCAGAGAGGACGGCAGAGAGGACCACGCCCCGGTGTCTGGGCCACAGGCTGGAGAGCAGTTATAGTCTGGTTGGACCTCAGGTGTCTCTGGGACATCACCTCACTGCCTTTGTCCCGTCCAACCACGGTGTCCAACGTGTGACCCCGACTGTGTCCAACTATGCCCAACATGTGACCCCGAATGTGTCCAACATGTGGCGGCGACTGTGTCCAACACGTGACCCCGACTGGGTCCAACATGTGACCTCGACTGTCTCACATGCGAGCCCGACTGTGTCCAACGTGACCCCGACTCTGTCCAACATGTGACATCGACTGTGTCCAACACGTGACCTCGACTGTCTCACATGCGAGCCCGACTGTGTCCAACTATGCCCAACATGTGACCCCGACTATGTCCAACATGTGCCCCCGACTGTGTCCCGCGTGTGCCCTCGACTGTGTCCAACGTGTGCCCCCGCCTGTGTCCAACATGAGCCCCCGACTGTGTCCAACTATGCCCAACATGTGACCCCGACTGGGTCCAACATGTGACCCCGAATGTGTCCAACATGTGACATCGACTGTGTCCAACACGTGACCTCGACTGTCTCACATGCGAGCCCGACTGTGTCCAACGTGACCCCGACTGGGTCCAACATGTGACCCCGAATGTGTCCAACATGTGGCGGCGACTGTGTCCAACACGTGACCCCGACTGGGTCCAACATGTGACCTCGACTATGTCCAACATGTGACCTCAACTGTGTCCAACTATGTCCAACATGTGACATCGACTGTGTCCAACGTGACCCCGACTCTGTCCAACATGTGACCTCAACTGTGTCCAACTATGCCCAACATGTGACCCCGAATGTGTCCAACATGTGGCGGCGACTGTGTCCAACACGTGACCCCGACTGGGTCCAACATGTGACCCCAACTGTGTCCAACTATGCCCAACATGTGACCCCGACTATGTCCAACATGAGACCCCGACTGTGTCCCGCGTGTGCCCTCGACTGTGTCCAACACGTGACCTCGACTGTGTCCAACGTGACCCCGACTCTGTCCAACATGTGACCCCGAATGTGTCCAACATGTGGCGGCGACTGTGTCCAACACGTGACCCCGACTGGGTCCAACATGTGACCCTGACTGTGTCCAACTATGTCCAACATCTGACCCCAACTGTGTCCAACTATGTCCAACATGTGACATCGACTGTGTCCAACACGTGACCTCGACTGTCTCACATGCGAGCCCGACTGTGTCCAACGTGTGCCCCCGCCTGTGTCCAACATGAGCCCCCGACTGTGTCCAACTATGCCCAACATGTGACCCCGACTGTGCCCAACATGAGACCCCGACTGTGTCCAACTATGTACAACATGTGACCCCACTGTGTCCAACATGTGGCGGCGACTGTGTCCAACACGTGACCCCGACTGGGTCCAACATGTGACCTCAACTGTGTCCAACTATGTCCAACATGAGACCCTGACTGGGTCCAACTGTGTCCAACTATGCCCAACATGTGACCCCGACTATGTCCAACATGTGCCCCCAACTGTGTCCAACTATGTCCAACAAAGGTGTCCAACGTGTGACCTCGACTGTGTCCAACATGTGACCTCAACTGTCCAACATGTGACCCCAACTGTGTCCAACATGACTTGTGTCCAACATGGGACCTCGACTGTGTCCAACGTGTGACCTCGACTGTGTCCAACATGTGACCTCAACTGTCCAACATGTGACCCCGACTGTGTCCAACATGTGACCCCGACTGTGTCCAACATGTGACCCCGACTGTGTCCAACATGTGACCTCGACTGTGTCCAACATGTGACCCCGACTGTGTCCAACATGTGACCTCAACTGTCCAACATGTGACCTCGACTGTGTCCAACATGTGACCTCGACTGTGTCCAACACGTGACCTCCTCAAGGTGAAAGTCCGACGAGAAACAAACAGCAGGACAACGTTGACCAACAGCACCTCCTGTTGGTCGTACTGTACACACAAAAGATCACAACATATATAAAAATATATCTATAAATACTGCAGTACAGAAATATATGTGAGAATATATTTTAACATTTATGTTCGTCTGATTTTTTTTTGTTATTAAAGAATAAACTTTTGAACTGTTGTTGTTGTTGTTGTTGTTGTGTCTGTTGTTGTGTCTGTTGTTGTTGTTGTGTCTGTTGTTGTGTCTGTGGTCAAAGTATTTCACCAAATATCGCCAATATATTTAGAGTATTCAACAAATATTTTATTGCAGGTACATGTCGTTACCATGAATAAAAACCACCGTTGGTCGGTCAAAGGTCACGGTCAAAGGTCACGGTCAAAGGTCACGGTCAAAGGTCACGGTCAAAGGTCACGGTCAAAGGTCACGGTCCGGGGTCACAGGGTTCTCTGGACCAAAGCCGGTCCTGGAGCCTCATGTTTGTTCGGTTCCCTTAACGTTCCTGGGCCCCGGCCGGCGTCCTGTTACTGGACCGAACTTCCTGTTTCCTGAGAACGGCGGCTGAGCCGAGGGCGGTGACGTCACCGCAGGAGGTCGACCAGCCGCTGGTACGTCTCCCGCTCCTGGTCCAGGCTGTGATGGTCCTCCCCGTACGTCCTACCGTTGAGGACCAGTCTGTGTCTCAGCTCCTGGTCCGACACCAGTCTCCGAGACTGGACAACAAAGTCCTGGACAGAAGGAGCACATGGTGTCTCAGGGACCAATCAGCAGTCGGAAAGGTTGACATCACACAGTTACACAGTAAGACTGACAACTGACCGCTAGTCACTGACCGCTAGTCACTGACCACTGGTCACTGACCTGAGGAGACGAGAACAGTAAACCGTTGAACTCATGTCGGACCAGGGCTGCGTTTCCTGGAACGTCTCTGACCAAAACAGGAACCCCGAGATCCATGGCCTGGTGGAGGAGAAGACAGACACACATACACACACACACACACACATACACACACACACACAACTGTGGGGTCAAAAGTTAACGTTGATTTTATTACGTACATTTTTATATTTTATCATACACACACACACACAACGGTATTCACAGTAGTACACAGTAGTACACAGTAGTACACAGGAGTACACAGGAGTACACGGTAGTACTCACCTCCAGGACGGCTGCTGACATGCCCTCCGACACAGAGCTGTTCACCAGGGCACAGCACCTCCTCATGGAGGCATGGAGCTCCTCCTGACTCCTCTCATTGGTCAGGAAGACTCCCGCTGTCCTGCAGAGGAACAGCCACAGAGGCGTTAACGACGGAGAACAGCCGGCCGTGACCCCGGGATAAACGTCCCCCCTGAAGGGGCCCGGCTCCCCGTGTTGGGAACCGCTGGTTATTTCGTAAGAAGAGGAAGAATCAGATACAGGTACCTGTGAACGACGGTCTCCACCTGGGCTGAAAACACCGGATCAATCTGACCGAGAGAGAGAGAGAGAGAGACAACAGTCGGACAGAGGAACAACAGTCGGACGGAGGAAACAACAGTCGGACAGAGGGAAACAACAGTCGGACAGAGGAACAACAGTCGGACAGAGGATCAACAGTCGGACAGAGAGGAAACAATAGTCGGACAGAGAGAAACAACAGTCGGACGGAGGAAACAACAGTCGGACAGAGGGAAACAACAGTCGGACAGAGGAACAACAGTCGGACAGAGGATCAACAGTCGGACAGAGAGGAAACAATAGTCGGACAGAGAGAAACAACAGTCGGACGGAGGAAACAACAGTCGGACAGAGAAACAACAGTCGGACAGAGGGAAACAACAGTCGGACAGAGGAACAACAGTCGGACAGAGGAACAACAGTCGGACAGAGGAACAACAGTCGGACGGAGGAAACAACAGTCGGACAGAGGGAAACAACAGTCGGACAGAGGAACAACAGTCGGACGGAGGAAACAACAGTCGGACAGAGGGAAACAACAGTCGGACAGAGAAAACAACAGTCGGACAGAGGAAACAACAGTCGGACAGAGAAACAACAGTCGGACAGAGGGAAACAACAGTCGGACAGAGGAACAACAGTCGGACGGAGGAAACAAAAGTCGGACAGAGAAAACAACAGTCGGACAGATAAACAAAAGTCGGACAGAGGAAACAACAGTCGGGCAGAGGAAACAACAGTCGGACAGAAACAACACTTGGACTGGAAACAACAGTCGGAGAGAGAAACAACAGTCAGCGAGAGAAACAACAGTCAGACAGAGAAACAACAGTCAGCGAAAGAAACAACAGTCAGACAGAGAAACAACAGTCGGGCAGAGAAAGAACAGTCAGACAGAAAAACAACAGTTGGGCAGAGAAACAACAGTCAGACAAGAAACAGTCAGACATAGAAACAACAGTCAGACAGAAACAACAGATGGACAGAATCAACAGTCGGACAGAAACAACACTTGGACTGGAAACAACAGACAGAGAACAACAATCAGACAGAGAAACAACAGTCAGACAGAGAAACAACAGTCGAACGAAAAACACCAGTCGGACAGAGAACCAACAGTCGGACAGAGAACCAACAGTCAGACAGAAACAACAGTCGGACAGAGAAACAACAGTTGGACTGGAAACAACAGTCAGACAGGAAACAACAGTCAGAGAAACAACAGTCGGACAGGAAATAATAGTCTGACAGAAAAACAACAGTCAGACCAGTGTCAGGTAATACCAGCAATTACACAATCAGAGAAATTAAAAAAACAATAATACAAATTCACTCAGTTCTCTGTAAA